TCATGGTATACAATCCTGAAAATGACCATGCAGACACAAAATATTTTGTGACCATTTGTATCACAGAATAAATTGAAACTCTGACTTCTCTTTATGTTCCCCCTTTACTAATTCTTTGTGTCTCTTTACCCTTTGACCCAATATTCAGCAACTATTTCTATCACAACTTTCTTAATCTCTCTAGATCTCTCAAGTTCTTTTACGATGCTGGTTATTTTTCATTCAGAAACTACTATGAAAGTGACTCACAGAAGCAACAAAATCCAGATGAATCACTAAAGTGATTACTGAGGAACCAATTTAATAATTTTTTTTATTATATGTCAGATAGAAATGATAGTTAATTCAATAATTATTAATCAGAAGTTGTTCTAATACATATTTCCCTCTTAAAGAATAACTTTAGTTTTGTGCAATACAGCATAACTACCCTGCTATTATTCTTTGAAAGTACTAAAAACAGTTAAATTAAATGGAAAGTACCTACTTTAAAAACAACCTATCTGACAAGATGAAGTGAATAATGACATAACAATTTATATTAGCAAAATAAAGTATAGCATCTTCTATGTTTTAAGAATGCAAAACCATTCATAATGTAAAAGATCAATTAATGGTACCCAACTCCTGCCCTCATCAGTTGAAAAACTGTTTCCCACTCATAGCACACCACAAAAAGTATTTTAGTAATTCATGTGTTTTGCTTTACACAAACATTACTTTGCTTTTCTCTTTGTGTAAAATTAGAAGATTTGGAGGAATCTTTTAAGAAATAAAAAATCTTAGTATTCTTTCCTTCTATAATTGATTAAAGGTATTTTCCCGTTCATATAAATTAATTAGAAACCAAATATGACTAAGTCTCTTTCAAATATCAAATATTTCAATCAATTACACCTAATGGCTTTTTAGGTTCTGACTATGAAGCTAATATTATTTTTAAAATAAATAATTCATTAGGTTTTTACATGTTGAATATATTCAACAAAAATATTTTGCAATATTTTTCCATTTTGAAAGTCTTTCTAAAATATATACATTTTAGTTTCTACAAAAACTCCCTATAACTGCACCTCATAGGAATTCAGAATATAACACTGAAATTTCCATAAAAAGTGTGAAATCAAAATTAGAAACACAATAGTTATATAGATTGTCCCATTCCAATAATTATTCTAGATACATAGATTTTAATTCGTAGAGTTACTGAACAAATTATTTTTTCACCTAATCTAAGGTTCTGCTTCATTTTATTTTAAAAGAGATATTGAGAATTGATACACTGTATACTACTTGTCTTCTCAACAAATGTAATATATAGTGAAAGCAAAAATATGAATATATATTCTCTAAATTAGTTTAAACTACAAGACAAAAACTTTGTGAGTAATTGGTCACAATTACAATTTGGACTGTGGCTCTTTGACCCTATCTTCAATATTGTCATGTTGCTGCCACTGTTTTCAAAGCTTAGGTGATTCTTATAAAAAAGCAGTGCCAAAGTTAATGAAAAAATGGAAAGTGAACAAACTTAATTCATACCTACACCACCAAGGAAAAACAGTACTTTATAAGACTTCCCTTTACAATTCATTTAATATAATACATGTATTTATATTTGCAGACTTATAGATCCCATCTAATGTGTTGAATGGGATAAATGCAATTGGAGTGGACAGCTGTGAAGTTAGGATCCAGCAGCATCTAAAAGACTAGCTATGGTACTATATTGCGAAATAAACTATCCTGATAATTCTGATTATGGCAGCATTTCGACAGATAATCTGCCTGAATGTACTCAAGCTCAAAACTGTCTTGTGTCCAATACATTCCTTTGCCTATAAGGTACCTGATGATTTCTGTTTTAATGAAATATGTATCGAAACAGAAATGTTGAGTATTTTGGGCTCATTAAAAATTAAGTAGAATTCTGGTTTTCAGTGGGTGCTTTGTGTAAGCACTTTAATTACAGAATGTGGTATTTCAAGTAATTTCCAGACAATACTGCAATACACATCATTTTTATTTCTATCAGATTTAAATAATCAAATTTAATACACAAAATTGTAAATTTTACACTTTCTTGCCATCTTAGTCAAATATTAACAATGTTAAAATGTACCCTAAATACAAAATTTATCTTTGTTTAAAATGATTAGTGTATATTAATTTCCACAGTATGAAAATAATGTATTCAAACATATAATATTTCTAACCTACTTAAATTTGGCAATATTTGCATCTGATCAAAATAGTTGCCTTGCAATCAACTCTTTTTTTAAAAAATCATCTAAAAATAGCTTAAGCAAAGGAACTGGGTTTGGATTTTGAGCACCTCATAAAAGTTAATGCAAACTTCAAGGACTTCTAAATTTCTAACTAAACTCAAAAGCATGATAATATTCGCACTGCATATTATCAAAGATTCTATTCTTCAATTTTGAAACATGGAAGAAATTTTCTTAAGTTTAGACAAAGACACACCATTGTAAATCATGGTCAGATAGAAAACAATAATTCTGACTGGAGTAATTAAAAAATATAATTTAAAATGGTTGCAATTTTGGGGCAACCGATAACAGTGAATTTGAGAATGTTAAGTACCACATAAAGGACATAAAATAAGACAAAATTATACAATTATTCCAAAAAAATCAGCATTAAAGAGTTGTCACCACAACAGTTAATGTAGCAATAACTGTATGATTCTCCAATTCCCATATTTTTGTACTCTACCATTTTAAAGCACATAGTAGCACAAAAATGTTTGCTATATTTTTAACATATAATTCAAAATATTTTTAGCTATATACAATTATATTTTATTGCACTGTACACAAAACATCATGCTAGAATCTGACCATATAGCATCAAACATGTTACTTTTGCATTAAAAAATTATTATGTTTCAACTAAATCTAAAACCTGCCTAAGTATCAGTTCTAGTAAGTACAATGAATCTTACTTTTGTGTGAGTGTGCAGAAAACTACAATAACTTTTTGAACTTCCTTTAGAAAAGTAATTACAAAGGCCAGGATCATATCATGGGACACAGGAGCAAGGGTTTTCAAACAAAAGTTCTAATAGACTGAACGTATTTTGGAAATGCCACTCTGATGAACAGATAAGTTCTGAATCGCATTACACATTTTATGCTTGTGACTTGATAACCCTTTGAAACAAAGAAAAACTCCCTCACATTACAAAAGTATTTTAGAAATCAACTTTTTATACTATATTTAGATTTAAGACAATTTTCTTTAAAAACCATATTCATATACCACATATTTCTGGAATTTAAATTTTAATGTTCCATTTTTAAACACTGAAACTTTTTCTTAAACAGCAGCTCAAACATACTGTTGAAATGTATGGTGTTCTCTACCTGAATGAAGAATCCTCTTAAGATCTTCAAATCAGATCAAATTAAATCTTTATTCAGTTATAGACCAGCAAATTAAGATTTTCAGAAAATTGAAAATTATTTGACACTCCCAGGTGCAAAAAAATTTATTGATTTCATTGCAAAGCAATATAAAGGCAGAGTTTTCCAGAGTAACAGAGGTATAGTCAGTTTTCCAATTTGCTATAGAAGGACTAGTACAAAACCTACAATTTCAAATAATTTATATACAGAATTAAAAGAAGTAAAAAAAAAAGACCAATAGCTATTCATCCATTCCACTGTTTTAGTAATTTGGAAATAAACTGGAGCAGAACTTTGAATGTGAAAGCATTTCAAAATTGTGTAGATAGCTATAATGATGAAACAATTAACTAACAATATCAATAAAATATATTTAAAATGATGGTTTAAAAACATTATAATTTCACTGCCCTCTCATAAAAAATACTACAACTTATTGGAATATGCGTCACTTAGAACAGTGGAAAATATCATGCCAACATAGAATATAGGAAAACCAGAATAGCAAATTAGAAAACACTAGTATCATCCCATGTAACTCACATTTCTGCCACTGATTACTACTTTTTGAAAAAGTACCACAAATAAGACATGGTTTATACAAGTCACATAAAAGAAGCTTTTAGAAATAAAGCTTTCCCACATAGTTGAGGCTTGGAAGCAATGAAGTTGCTTTGAGTACAACTTCTCCCATACTGAATTATAGTTCCCATCATCTTCAGCCAAAGTTGTTTTTATATTTATTTCATTGAGCTAAGAGCTAATATATATGTCCCTGACCATATCTTTACATCTGGCTGACTGGGTACTAAAATACCTATATGATTTAATCCTTGTGAAAATCAGGGTCTCAGTTGAGAATCCTGAAAAACTTTTTTTTAAACATAAGATAACATTTGTTTTACAGACTTTTAAAAAGAATAATCAGGTTTATAAAAAACTGTATGTCACAACCACATGATACAGGAGGAAACTCTCCTGATTTCCAAGAAACAAAAACAACTCTCGAACAACAAAAGCAAAAATGTAACTATTAAAGTATTTTCAGCACTGAAGTTTAAACTTCAAGATTCAACTTTCCGCTGCTTATTTTTCTCCAACTTACTAATAATGTGTAATAATAGGAAGAACAAATATTTTACCTTAGTTTTTTTGGGACCGAATAATCCACTTCCATGACTTTGCCATGCAACTCTGCTTTACCTTAAAAGTAAAAATAAAAAAAAAAATCCATTTTCAAGTGAGAGAGTTCTGAATGCTAAGCATCCAAACTCTGGTGCAACTCACTGTGGGCATCTCATTTTTTGATTACCCAGAGGTGATGGTAGAGAATGGAAAATGAGAGAAATTTGACGGGGAAAATAGCCAATAGTCATCCTTTGGGAGTAAAAACTCCCTTAAGCAGAAATGGGCTTTGAAAGCATTTCAGGCATTCTGGGGGGAGGGGGGGGGAGCCGTCTTTGTTTCCTCAAGTGAACTATTTGGCCAAAGAAGCTACTTCATCCCATGCCCCTGGAAACATTTGACGGGGGAGGGGGGTGCCCCTCTGCCCATCAGGATCTACAACTGGGACCGTTCGCACGAATTCTTGCGCCAGCACCGCGGTTCAGCCCAAAAGACTCCCGAGCCTGCTCCGTTGGTGCGCGCGCGGACCTCCCCCCCACCTCCACGCCGGCCCATTCAGGTAGCTTTCTTCTGCCCAAACTATTCCTAGGACCGCGAGCAAACGACCGAGGAGTCAGCAGACCAATGGCCACGTTAAAGGGCTGGTGCTTAAACAAGCTGGGCTCGCCCCACCTGGGCTCCGGCTAACATTCAGCCTCCGGAAGGAAGCGGCGAGGTGCGCGTGTGAGCGAAGGGCCAACTACTCCAACTGGTTCGCTCCAGGCCGGCCCGCTCAAACCCGATGGACGGTCTGCCTCCTGGGGCTGGCCCAAACGTCCCTCTTCGTCAATTCAAGCCACGCTCTGCTCGTCCCCGGTGTGACTGGCCGGCCTCAGGGCTGCGCGTCACTCCGGGCCCCCGGGCAGATTTGGGGCTCTTTGCTCCGGGCTCCCGGCGAGTTGGGACAGGGCACCTCGTAGAAAGGTGCCCCAGATCTAGCGGATGCCGGGAAAACTAAAGGGAGCGGTACCCCGCGCTCGGGAGCCGCTCAATAAAATCGGAGAAAAAAATCAGCGAAAAATCCCTCCCTCGCCCGCCGGGCCGCCTGCTGAAGCGCAGCGCGCTCAGGGCGAACGGGAAAGGGCGCCTAGGCGCGGGCACCGGCTCAGAGGCTCTGGCAGCAGCACCGCCCTCTGAGAAGCATCAAGGATCGCTCCGGTCAGGAGGGGGGCACCGGGTCCCCTTTACTCCGTCTCTCGCGGGGGGGGGGGCTGAGTAAATAAGGGAAAGTCCCCCACCCCCTGCGTCAACATCTCGCCCAAGCAGGGATTCTCCTCGAGACACTCGCTGCCCTGCCGGCTCCAAGGGGCCTGGTCCATCCAGACGGAAGGCGGACTAGTGGCCAGGAGCCAGCCGGGGGAGAGCGGGGGGAGGTCAAGGCAAAGAGGTATCTCCGCACGCCCTCTCCTTAGTCCTGAGCGCCGCGCTTCCTGGCTTACCGGAGAGAGTTTCGATGGCGCGGATGGCCCAGTTCTGGTCCGGGTAGTCCACGAAAGCGTAGCCGGACTTGAGCAGGACCTGCCCGGTGAGGGGCAACTTCCTGTCCCCGAAGAGCTGCCGGAGCTCCTCGGCAGTCACGGCCGGGCTCAGGTTGCCGATGTATAGCTTCTTCATCGTCCGCCTATCAGGAGGGGGAAGAGTCGGAGGGAAGCCAAGGCCGCCGCGGCCACCCCCTCCTGCTTTCCTACCACCCACCCACCTAGTGAAGCTGGAGACCCAGCACCTCCCCGCCGTCGGCCGGCCCAACCCAGCTTAGCCGCTCCTCCTAGCTGCTTACAACAGCGCCCCGCAGCCGGGCGGGCAGCGAGTAAGCGAACGGGCGGAGCCCAACCCAGCCCCGCACAAGCCCTTCCTCCAGCTCTCCGGGTCCTCAGTCCCGCCTGTCTCGCCCGGGACAGACAGGGGGCGGCGGTTGGGGCAGCGGTTATCCTGCAGAGACTCGGCCGGGACGCGGACACACATACACACACACGGAAGGAGAGAGAGAGATGGACGAGCGGCGCCACGGCCAAGCAAGCCCCACCTACCCTCTCCTTTCCTCTTAGCCAGAAACACGTAGCCACGTGCTCGATTGGGGTTTGCTTCGCGCCCACCCTGCGCCGGATGGCTCTCCCGAAGCTCGCGCGGCAATTCTTACCGCTGTTCTCCCCCACCCCCACCCCCACCCTGTCCTTTTCTTTCTTTCCTTCTTTCTTTTTAGCTGGAATAACTCTCGGAGAATCGCACGTGAGCCAGGAAGCCCTCTGCCCACACCAAAGTCTGCGCCACCGGATGCCTGAAAGCGATGGCTCTGCTCCTCTGCTGGGGGTGGGGGGGGGACGGGACGGAGCGCTCTGAGGTAGCGCTTCACCGACTACCTGAGGGCACAGGAGAGCGAAGGGCGGCGTTTTTCCGGCCAAATCTTTTTGGGGCGCGTGCGGCTCAAAACCTCAAACCCCGAGATTTCTTTTGACTCTCCTGTGTGGCGAACGTGCTGTTTCTGAACCTCCCTCACCTGGGGCAGGAGGAGGGCCGGGGAGGGAGGTTTTCCCGTCCATCGTTTCTAACCGCGGTTTACGATCCGAAGCAGAAAGCAACTTTCTCCAACAAGTCTCTACTTTTAATGCTTGAGTTGGTTTAATGGGCATTTCGTCTTTCTTCAGCCAGGATTAGCCTATCAGAAGAGGCGAGGAGGAAAGCTGTCTTGTGAACGAAGTCGCAAACGTAATGGCCGGGCACTTCCTGCTGCTCGGGCCGGTGGAAACGCTTTGACGCTCTGGGTCCCCGTCCCCCCCCCCCGATTTGATCCCCAGCTGTCGGTTGGAAATCAGTTGGACTGAAATCGCAAGTGCCCGCCGTAAAAAAGGGATTTGGAGTAGGTGAATAAGGACTCGGAGCCTGGTTCATCCGTATTTTCGTAGCCCCCCGCCCGCCTGTACTCTACTCACAGAAGCGATGCGGTCCCGTCCCCCCGTCGACCTTGATGCTACGTGATTCTGCCGTTCCAGAAAGGAAGAACTGGGTCTGTCAACAAACGAAGCTTTGCTATGAATTCTATCTGGATGTTTTTTTAAAAAAAACTTATCTTAAGGAGGACTTGGATAGGGACAAAAGGAAGACTTTTGGGAAGTTCCCCCTTCCACCATCACTTGTAGTATTCACCTGTATTATTATGGTATCTATCTGGTGATTAAAAAGCTAAATAGATATTTACAGACTGAAGAATTATGAAATTAGAGTATTGCCTCTGTAATGAATTTACTATGGCAAAATTTAATTTCATTCACGTAAAAGTCCATGTATGGGGGGTGGGGGAAGGGGGGAAACTAAATAGATATTAAAGGAACAATCAGGGTCATGTGTAACCTTTGTACCACTTTTCAGGCTTGTCCTAATGTCTTTTTATTGCATGTTGTCACAATTAGGTGAGAGAACCACTTTTTCTAGCAGGATAGGTTTACTAGGCAATACTGCTGCTAAACACTGCTTTTCAACCTGGATGTTATTGACCATTTTTCCACCAGTGTTTTACCTTCTAGAGTTACTTGAAAATCTTTGTGAAAATAAAAAAAGACTGTCTTTATTACTGGAACAACAGCATTGCAAGATTCATAGATGATCGTATAAGATGTTGTAAATCCTTAGTGAAGAATTTGTCATTTTGCGGTCACTGGATGAAGTTTATTCATTAAGATTTTTATCTTCAAGGTGCTCAGAAGAACAAAGGTTTTACACAATACCTCCTCAGTTAACAGAGCAAAATAATGTATAACCTGCAGAAACTCTTAAGAAATGGGGATATGTGGGCAGTATTTCTGGATGCCTCTTTGGTGATGCACGTGTAAAAATCTGTTGAGATTGATGGCATTCAAACGTATATGAAATGAAGTTGAATATTAATGTCTGAAGTTGATTATTAGTTCCTACCTCCCATCCGAGTTGAAAAAATAAATTGCATGTTTTGACTAATCCAGTAAATAATTTACATGGAACACTCCCTTTCCCCCAAATATTAAAGAAGCTTGCTTTATCCAGAATAAGAAATCAGAATTGTATTAAAGTTTTTAGCAGTTTCCTTCTCAAGTAGGAAATGGAAGGATTATGAACCTACAGTTACTAAATATAAATATTTTTAATAAATTGTCATTCATATTACTTTGCTTATTTATTTTTTATATTATGCCTTGTATTTGGAGCTTAGTTTAGTTAGCTATGATAGAGATACCTAACAAGCTTTTGCTGTATCCGAATCCCCTAGTTTCAGTTAAATTAAATTAAAAACCTGGCAGAAGGGGAGGAATGATAAAAAAGCCAAACCCTACACTTTCTAACCTTTTGCAGAAAATTGTTTTTGCTTCACATGTCATCCCACTTTCTCCTGTTGTGTTCCTGTTGCAACCCTGATTTCTGTAGTTTCTCAATGTCCACCCCACTTCCTATCTTCTTGCATTTCAGGCTCCCCATTCTCTTTCTCTCCAGCTTCTGGACAATGGGGAGTGCTTTCCATTTTTTTCTTTTTAGATGCTTAATTTTTTGTATGGGCTATTTAATAAAAGAGCGCTGCCAAAAGTGGAGCCATATATGCCACCTTGCTTCTGAGCTTCTGCATACTACTGATGATGCATTTGCTTTCTGCTGCTGTCTCCTCTGCCAATTTCTTGTAAATGTGCTGCAGAGTCCTGGCCCTGTGCCCTCTTGTAGCCACTGGATACATAAGTTCATCCTATGCTTCTTTTTTCAGAGGTTACCTCTGGGTTTCATCAGATTGCTCCTTCAGATGGATGCAGCCATCTGTTCACAATTTTGTGATAATTCAGTCTGATGATGGTTACATCCTGCTATTCGATTATTATTCTTCCTAATGAACTAAATAGCTAAATGATTTGTAGTTACTTATACATCAATATCTCTGTGCTTATATTTGTCACACATTTGATTTATTTTCCACTTTTCAAGAGAACTGCTTCCAATGTTATATATGAGTAGAAGTAGAATAAACTTGCAGATGGAGTGGATGGCTGATTAGAACATCTTCCCTTCCAGAAGTCCTTTTGTTGATTTATAGTCATTATTGTAGAAATTAGCAACACTCTTGATTTGCTACCCAAATTGTGACACTGTGTGTGTGTGTGTGTGTGTGTGTGTGTGTGTGTCTAATGTATGTGTGTGTGTGGGGGGCTGCACCTTCATTTTAAAGGACCTATATACTTCATGCATCAATGCTATTTTAAGAAAAAGAAAGCATATAAGCATTACAGACATTCCTAGAGTGACCATGGCAACAGTATTGTTGCATGCTATTATTGTTCCCCACATTAGCTCTATATGGAAGGAACCCATCAACACATGTGAATTGGATAACCATGATACCCAATTCAAAATATATAGAAAGGTATCATAACACAACTAGGACAAGGCATAATGTTTTCCTTTAGTTAGATAGTTATGGCAAATCAATATCAAGAAGATTCCATTAAAAGATATTGTATCAATAGAAATGTATTCCAGGATTCCCTGCAGATAAGTGTGTACTGTAGATCACTGTATGAAACTACCTATTTTAAGGGGGAAAATATCCTTGAGAACAGCATGATGATCTTTGAATTCTTAAGAATTCACTATTGACTATTATACTATTGACTATTGATTTAGACTATTGATGGGAAATTCTCTGGTCAGCACTAGGATATCTATATTTGCAAAATAAACAGAAATACTGCTGTGATAATTCCATAGCTTAGTGGATAAAGCAAAAATCTCCCAAGTTTTCTTGAAAAATGTTGTACAACACTTTGGATTTGCTTTCAAAAGGGACCCTGTGCATCATCTCTAAGCTCTGTTCCGGTGCCCATCCTACACTACATTCCAACCAAGCTGGAAAAAAGCTACAAAATAAACAGCTTTGAGTCATGAAGGGAGCTGAGTCACAAGCAGTCAGTTTACTTAGAATTTATACTTTCTTTCTTTGTCTTCTTTATATAGGAAACACATGCCAAGTTCAAAGTTCCTTTGTGTTCTTTTTATAGACAATAAGATCGGTTGGTTGGTTGACTACTTCAACTTGTGCTAAGTCAACAAGGGTTACAGAATTAAAGTGCTTAGAGTACTAGCAGCCAGACAGTTTGACACTACTGAGCAATTATGAGATCATCTGCATAATGTTGCAGTGTCCATCTCCTAATGAGATAAGAGCAGAATGGTTGTCAAGGGATCAGAGTCTGAGATGCTTGCATTAACGTAAAAGGGCCAATAAATGCCACATTACTAGTATTCTGATTTCATATCTGAATCAATGGGTGGCAAATAATGACATCAACAGGAGGGGAGGCAAAAATGTCAAGACAGTATTGGGATGCAAGCCCACAAGTCAACATCATAGGCAGGTACTAAAGGATGGAACTTGAATTATGACACCTCTTCTATCATCTTGCCTTTTCTGATTCCTTCATAGACACTATTGGGGTCACAGGATAAGATCTTTCTGGTATCTGAAGGTTCTCAGCTTAATGGAGAAAGCATTTATTCTCAGTGAAGGTTCTCAGTTTAATGGAGAAAGACCAAGAAAGACTTAGCATAACACAGCTAAGTCTTTCCTGGTCATGGTCTGGGGAACAAAAGAAAATAATGTAATGAAGAATAAACAAAAATGTTGCCAATAAGTTTTTGTATCATTAGAATTAGAATTATTTATTGGTCAAGTGTGATTGGACACACAAGGAATTTGTCTTTGGTGCATATGCTCTCAGTGTACATAAAAAGAAAAGATACATTCATTAAGAATCATAAGGTATAATGATAGTTATAGGGTACAAATAAGTAATCAAATTATAATAGGCAACAATATAAATCGTAAGGATACAGCAACAAGTTACAGTCATACAGTCGTAAGTGGGAGGAGATGTGATAGGAACGATGAGAAGATTAATAGTAATAGTAATGCAGACTTGGTGAATAGTTGACAGTGTTGAGGGAATTATTTTTTCTCTCAGCAGAGTGATGACATTTGAGAAAAAACTGTTCTTTTGTCTAATTGTTCTGGTGTAAAGTGCTCTATAGTGTCGTTTTGAGGGTTAGGGTTAGGGTTACGGTCATGGTTAGGGATAAGAAAGGAAAAGCCTTCAGTAGTTCATTTTGAGTTCAATGTCTCATCTTTTTTTATAAATGCTCTTGAATCATAATACATGTTTGTTTGCAATAAGGCTGAGCAACTTTTTCTGGTCTTGAGAGCTATCATCTCATTCAAATATTCCCTGCAGCTGAGTACAATTGCAGGGATGCAGAGAGATGTGTTATCCATCTCTCTTCCCAGTATGTTGTAGGTTACCCAATGCTAATGGCAGTAGGAAATTGAGGGCTATAATGGGGTCACTAGATGGAGGGGGAAAAAACCCTTCCTCTTCTGTTCAAGACTGCTGGCATTAGATCTGTGAGTGCAATGCAATTAAGAAATCATTTTCTTGCATAAGTTCATTCAACCTCATGTGTTCCAACAATTTATTAACCCTGAGGAATATCAATTCATTCTAAACAATTTTTGCACAATTGTGATTATTTACATTCTTTTGAAGATAAGTCTGCAAATGTTGTTACCTTCCTTTCAAGCATCTGTATTAGTCTGAGAACATTGTTAGTAACAGTTTGTCTAAAAAACCTGGAATGCTAAGTTACGGAAAACAATCTAATAGCAGCCATAGCATTCAAGAATGCCTTTCCAAATGCTGCATCTATATCACATTAGATTCGGTTTCCACCTGTCCTACATGCACTATTAGTGGTAGTGGACTTTTTTGAGTTTTTCCTACTTTTTCCTCCAGAAAATGGATTTAATGAATAGATTTTGAGAAATTGTATTTGTTGTCATCAAGAGAAAACTACATTCCTAGTTTTAATCAGCTCACATAAAACAATTGAATCTACAAATGCAAACTATAATACTTTTTTAAAAGCATAACTGCATATTGCATCCCATTCAGTAACAGTACAGCAGAACTATTTACTACTCAGAAGTCTTAAGTTGTGTGCTTTGGTGTAGATCACAAAGGAGCTATTAATACACTGTCCCCATTTATTTGTATTCATTTCTTTCGTTCATATCCATGTTTATATTTATACCTGCTATCTTGAACATGTTTGACAAACTAATAAATACAAATACAAATACATGTCTTATTGCTTGGACTCACGCATCAGATATGTAAAGTGATGATAAAATAGCATAAAACATGGTATCTAACTAAATATAATTGTTTAATTTAATTGTCAGTGAATGTTTTTCTGTCTGAGGTAATACACAGTACCATAAAGAGATACATTGAAGTGTTCATTAATCTATCATCTCCCACAAGATCTCTTCTAGATTATATTTTCTCCAATCTCTACTTGAGATTCTGCTCGAGGTCCTGCAATATGAATGAAAGTAGAAATAGCAAAGGAGGCACAATGTTCTTAGCGGGGGATGATAAGCTGCTAATTTTTGAATGGAAACAGGACCCAAAGGCATTAGAGAGTAAGAATTAGAATAGTTTTATTACACAAAACAAAGATGATTGGGGCATTTTTATAGCTTATACAACCCATTTTTAAAACAGTACTTAAAATTTTCCCTTTCAATAGTTTTTTCTTTTGTACCTTTTAAATGATAAGTATGTGATTCTTAACTGTTGTATTTGAATAAAGTACCTAACAATCTCAGACATATAATGCATTATAAATACAGTAAATATATTCACATTAATAATGTGATTATATTCAAGCAAAAGGTTTTCACAATAGAATCACAATTCTGGAAAGTGAAAAAATTACAATGCTAGACAAGCATATATAGTGAAACTTATTTTATTTACATTTGTTTAGCCAGGAGACTACAGTGTTAATACAAAATGATTGTTTGGCTATCAATGATTGCCAGTCTGATCTGTTCATGCTTGTACACTATCCAGAGTGACCCACAGGGGGCAGACTAGCCCCATACTCATAAGACTTAATGTTGTGCAGCAGCATCCGGGGCTTTTCCCACCATCAATATCACCTCACATTTAGGCATCACATTTGGATAGGTCTGACACCAGTTAAACTTGTATTGCTGTTTGGCGCAGTTTTTTACACACTAAAGTGGTGCTTTAACAATGAAACTTATGCAAAGAAATTTGACCTGACAAATTTGACTACATTTTTATAGATTGCTTTGCTAGAATTTTAGGATCTAAGTCATTATAAATTTGATTGATTTTAAAATTTCTAGCCAAGTTGTTAAAGTGAACTATCAAAGGATCTACAGTATATGATCTCTACCTGAACAGATCCCTAAAAGCTTGAAGGTCTACTGGATGAAACTGAGAGGATGCAGTAATGGAAAATAAACACTTTTTTTGCTTCCATCATTGTCGAATTCTATATGAGTTTTAACCTATGTTGGGCCTGAATAAGATCTGCAATATATGAGAGGATACATATATGTTGAATTCAGAATAGTCAAATCTTTGACAGAAGTACAAAGCTTATTAACCAGAAGACACTGAAGAACTTGGAATCAATTGCCAATTCATCACCTTTCATGGGCAATCATTCTAATAGGTTCCACATCTCTGCGGAAAGAAATAGTTGCTATCAACCTAAATCTCAGTCGGAATTGATTCAACAATGACAGGAATAGATATAAAATCTGTCACTTTGGGACCACTATTCTTCTACCCAATAGAAAATCAAATCAAATTCGGAGTGTGATCTGCCATATGTGCTGGGCCAGAAACAAGTTGACAGAAATCCGTAGTTGGCATGGCAGCTATTAATTCTTGGACAGCCCCAATCAAAGCAGTCCTAGCATGGAAGTTAAAATTATCTAGACTTCATCCTCTAGGAGTTCTGAACCACCTCCATCTGAGACCACTTTCATCAACTCAGGAAATTTGTTGGGTAGCTGACTGGATGGTATACCAAAAGAATCCCCATTTTCTTCTGAATAACCAAAACTAGATACCAATATTTTAGATTGATACTTGATCCTGGAGACAGAAAGAGATCTATATATTCCAAAAATTCCCCTGCCCTGACCACCTAGTCTTTTTTGGTGCTATACTGTGCATTCCCTAGTTATCCAATTCAGGTGTTTGTGAAACATCGTAGAGCAATCCTCTCATGCACAATCAAATCTTAGATGAGAAAGATTTTTCTTATTATTTACCAATCTGGTGTTTAATAGCAAAACCTGCAAGCCAACAGCAGACCAATATGAGTTCATCCTTGTGAGGAAGTAACCAGAAGAGAGAAACTCGAGATCTCTCATCTCCCTTCTTATTTGGCATGCTTTTGCTCCCACTGTCATACTTTCCTCTTGATGGAATTACAGTAAGATTTAGAGTTTCCCAGAGAAGGAATGCCAGTTAAAACAACTGGCACTTGGCACCAAGCTGAGAAATACAGAACAAGTGTTTGTTAAGCAATGGGAAAGGAAAAGAGACAAAAAGAAGTACCAGATTTAAACTGCAGAGGTATAAAGAGAAATTGCACTCTCTTGTTGACAGAGGGCAAGAAATTGCTTTAAATTTCAAATTTTTTTTTTTTAAATTTCCCTCAAGACCCTGATGTTCCAACAGGCGGGGCTAAACATATGAACATGTGAATGATTTTTTAAAATGTTATCTAATTCTGGGTTTTATTTAATTGACCAAACTAAGTAATAATTTTAATTAGCAATTTTATGATGTTTGTGTATCTATATTTTTCTTGACTGTACACCGCCTTGAGTCCTACGGGAGAAAAGTAGTATAGAAATATAATAAATAATAATAATAATAAAATGTCTTTATCCTACTATGCAATGAAGATTTTTCTCTGGCTGTGTCACGTGAAGTATCTTGGTAGCTTCTGCCAAGTGTAAACTGGGAAGCCTGGCAACCTGAGTGCCCTTTCGCTTACCTCTAGATCAATGTTTCTCAACTTCAGCAAGTTTAAAATGTGTAGACTTCAATTTCCAGAATTCCTCAGCCCACACTGATCTAGATTAATGCACGCTGCTCAGGAATCAAAGCAATGTTTGCTAGTCTCTTGCATCCTCATCTATAAAATTAGGAGGGCAGAGCTGAAGTGTGCGAAGGACAGGGAAACAACCAGCACACAACTGTTTCCCTACAGTTCCGCTGTAGGGAAATAAATATTTAAATATTTATTTTAAATTTATTTTAAATATTTAAAAAATATTTAAAAATATTTTTATTTTAAAACCTCCTACCCCAAGAGAGGGATGAGCTGCTAAGGCATCTGCCTCTGATTTCTGCGACAGTATTCATGCCTTCACCAAGCTTGTTTGGTGAAGTTTGTTTCTGCTTGAGATGAATGAATATGTATTCCCACTCTGGGTAGCCAGTTATCATTCTGTAGGGAGCCTTTGGAAATGATGTTGGAGAAGGCATCCAGAAGTTATTAGGACAACAACAGGTACTGAGAAATGTGCTAAGCCCATGGAAATGGAAAAATGTTAGGGAAAAAACACTGACTGGCTTCTCCTTGATTCCCTGGACTATAGGAGGGAGCGAGGGAGGGAAAAATTCAGACAGACTTGCAAAATTCTATTACTATAACCTACCTCAATAAATCATCCTGTGGAGTCTGTTTCTCTTTATTCTATCTTATAGTGCTTTTATGTTCTTATAAACTCTAGCTGTCGTAACTAGAAACTAAAAAACTGCTCTCATCTCCAACCATTAGATATGTTTGGCTTTTTGAGAAGACAGGGACCTCCAAGGTGCCAACTCATAATGCACTTCCTATGTTGTAAATTTTATAGCTAATCACTCAGTAGTTTTAAATAGATGAACTTGTGTTCAGAAAGGCCAAGGAGGAAGTTGGCATACTGACACATGCTTTTTGAAGTATGAGCAGAGAAATCTTATTACCTGGATGAAATTTGGTCCATGTTAACATTCAAAAATATGAAATATGATTTGGAAGCTGACATAAGAAATGCCGGCCACTTTTACCTGGATATTTAAATGCTGGATTGCAATGTGATGACTTTCTTTGGAGGTAATGGCATGATCTTGATATCTGTGCATACTCCTTAATGAAAAGTGACTCAAATAGTCTGAGCAAGTTTTTGGTTGCTATATCAAAACCTCATATCCCTGGATCCAGCTCAGGGTTACTGACAAATCAAACTGAGCTTGCAACTTGAAGTAAGTAACACAGTAAGTTGGTTGAAAATGAACCTTATGTACTAAGTACTCGGGTTGGGATATAGTGAAATCATCCTCTCCTCACTAAAATCCTGTGTCATAAATTTAGTTTCCTTGATTTGGAAGATGGAGAAAAATAATTCAGAGGTATGAGATTTAGTGCTGGGAAATTTGGAATTAAAGTTGGTTTGGGAAACTTAATTTCTCTGAACAGAACATTCTACCCCCTCCCCCTGGAAAGAATACAATTGGCAAGACTTCTGCCCTTTTCTGATCTGAAGCATCCACTAAGGTCGGGTAGGCACCTATGACAATTTATGGATTTCAACTCTCAGAATTCCTGAGTCATTCATTTGAAAATCTCTTTTGGATATCCAGAGATCATTGACCTTGAAGAAGTGACACAAAATAACTCCAAAAGATGGGCATGGCAATATTCAATCTGAATCTCCACATTCATCTTTCCTATCCAATGTGAAGAAATTATGATTTATAGTAGATACTATAGATTAGCAAGTCTCGTTTTGTCTAAATATTGCATTGACCCACTAAGAAATGTTCAAATTTGCATTATTTTTACTCTTTTAAAGTGTTTTTATTTTTTGCACTAAACAGGATTTTGAGGATTCTCCTTGTGTTTGTATCAGCCAGATACATCTTTAACAATTCTGAGCATTTTTTGTTTCATATCTGCAAGTATACTTTACAAAGTTGTTGCTATGGAGCAAAATGACAGGAGAGAATGTTATGTATGTCATCTCAAGTTGCTGAAAGTAGGATACAAGTCTAACAAACACAGTGTTCTCACTGTTGCCATTTTAGGGGCAGGGTGGGTGGGAGAGAAAACAGCTCCTGAAGCGGAAAGTGCAAGGTATAAATATTAGCCCTCTGGTGGCACAGTGGTGACTGCCCTCTGGTGGCACTTAAAGCTCCAGCTGCACTGGGTAGTGATAGCAATGCTGGAATTTCAAAAGGAAAAAAAAACATATCCTTGCTTCCCAAAAGATATAGTTATTTGGATTAGGAGACTTTGGAATGGTGTGGTGTGATCCTCTAATAGCAATTTGGAATTCTTCCAATTCTGACATGTTTTCTGAATAAAGCAAGCTCTGGGCTGAATTGTGGAGTTTTTGGAATAAAAACTCCACAATAGTATCATTCTTGATCTAGTTCAATCCTGAGCTGCATATATTTTCTATTGGTAAATATAAATGATTGGCATGCAATATCTCTTATTTCCAGTATCAAATATATTGTTTTGATTGTACAAAGCCTTCTGATCAGGATACCTTAGATGTTATAATGGCTGTAAGTGGAATATATATGTCTTCCACAGACCAATTCATAGAAAAGGTTTTTTATTTAAATAGATAACAAAAACAAAGAAAAGTATGGTTTGAACAAATCTGAAACTAATAGAGAAAATATTAAGGAGAATGCAGAAACAGAACTTTAATTATATCCTGAGTGAAAACAAAGAATGAGTTGGTTAATTGGAACAACAATCAAATCTTGCGCAACTATTTCGTCTTACATTGTAATGAGAAAATTAACCCATTCATGCAATATATGACTGGGAACATAGTCATTATCTTCCTGCATCCTTATAAACTGGAACGATACTGCAAGCACTAGTCAGTCACTGCTACCAGGATACGTGATGATTATTCTGGAGACATTTACTGCCCTTCAGCACAGAAAGGCGAACAAATATTAGTCATACATTTGTACTGTTATACAAAACATAGGGGTAGCTACTTTTTAAGTAAGTTTTCTAGAGATTATAAAATATTATTAGGTTAACCTGCTAGATAATTCATGTTAGGTTCAAAATGATTTATGATCACATTAAATGTATGTTCCTGGATTACTATTGGCAATCAATTTTTAACATTTTAGGGATTATCTTTGTAGTCTGCTCCATAAACCTGCAAAAACACATACCAATTTTCTAGTCTTTTCACGTACATTAACAGATTCTTGCTATAAAATTAGTTACCAATCCAAATTTGTATATCACCTTTCCCCCTCTGATTGCACTTTGACTAAAGAAGAGATACAAACTTCAAAGTAAGTAAAAAAATGTTTATTATGCCACCATTTCAATGCATCTTACACAGGTTTTGATCTTCAAAATACCCTAGAAACTGAAAAAAAAAATCGAAGAATTTAGATAACAGAAATCCTTCTGCAAAGTTCAGACTAAACACATGCGAAAGACATACTCTTCTCAAAAACACAATTCTGAACAAAGCACCAACTACACAAATATGCAGAATGGTACAACACTTTAAAACTTCACCAAAATATTCTCCATAAAAGGTGTAAAAGTCACCTAATTCACTAGGCACCATTCAACTGAACAAAAATAACAAGTATGCAATCACACTGCAGTGTTTGCAGCTATAAAGTCTTCATTTTTTCACTTTAATAGCGACCTGCAATGCAGAAAGAAAGAAGCTAGTTAAACTTTTGAATCTCTGCAATTCTGCCAAAAGACATTAATTTATAAACTATATTATTTGGAGAAATAATACAGAATATTGGACAACTGTTGAAGGCATTTCCCCCTTATGCAAAGATTCAGATTTCCTCCCCTGTTTGCAAAATGTGAGTACTAATAGAGGAGAAGAAGTGGCAATTTTCACCAATTTCCCCAATAAACTGCTGTGCCATTTCCCATTATTCTATAAAAGTTTTGGTAATCTAGAGAATGTTTGTGATACATTGCAAGCAGACTTTGAATCATGCTGGTATATGCAAAAGCAAATGGGTTTATGCACTTTAACTTAGTCCAATTCAATAACAGTATAAATTTCTATTTGGATCCAAAGGATCTTTTTAAAATATTATTTTTTAATGAAGTTAATGACTAATTTTAAAATGAATCTAATTTTAACCCAGTAAACATACTTTGTTGGTGTTATTCCAACAACATATTCTATTTATTGACGTATCATTTGAATCAAGAATATAAGTCTAAAATTTTCACTAAGTCACCTAGGAACCCTTGAGGAACAAGAATTAGTACAAGTACACATGCTTATATAACAATGGGGCTCATAGTAAAAGGTACACTAATTAATTTAATAGTTAAAATATTTTCTTTCCAAAAGAACATTTCTGTATCAAGGTGAAGACAACTGAGAGCAGGAGGTTGTTTGAAATCAGACAAAAACTTGGCAGTAATGTATCTGTTTGTTTTTTTAAAACAGAAAACACAACTGAGATTTTTTTTTAAATAACTGGAACAGGAATCAATTATACTTTTAAAAGTATTAGATTACCTCACTGTCCAATTAAGGGCAAATGTTAGGTTTCCCCCCACCCAATTATGTTATGAGGATTTGTTGTGCAAAAACCGGCCTCCAACTATTAAAACTATTGCTTTATTTCATTCAGAGGCAACTGAACTAATTCAAAGCTCTGATAAACATTGTTTTCAATAACTGAAGATAATGGAGATAATGAAATGAGCAGAGGACAAATTAGTTTTGTGACTCAGTATTCTAGAAATGCTTTGCAAAACCTGTTAGGGCAACACTGCTCATCAAAAGATTAAAGCAGGCAACTCTAAAGTCTGTCCCCACTTGCCTACTATCTGCTTTGGTATGCACATGAACATGCTTCTGATGGATGTAGCTGGTCTCTTTGAGAGCAGAGCTTTAGCTCTTTGCTTGTATTACTATTCTTTGTAACGCATAGCTTTCAAGTGCTTTGCACAGCTCTTAGTTCAAGAAGTTTACTATAGGTTTATATTTATATACTGTATGGTCCACATTAACTCTACTGGCCTGTAATGGCAAAATTATATTCAACTGAACTTGTTACTTACGAGGCGAGTAGGATCGAGACCGGGAACGGGATCTATAACCCCCTCGGCTATAATATGGAGATGGTGATCTTCTCCTGCACAAAAAAATGTGACAGTGATGATGTGCATATGGATATACACACTAACTTGCACTGCTACAAATAACCTTGGTAGCTACATGTATCAAGGATAGTACACAAGAATACTGGATCATTATGGATGTTTCAAATCTACTAGTTCTATATATATCTATAGATATATTACTATATCTACTGTATCTATCATAGGGCAACAATTTTTGAACCCAGGTACCACAAATGGTCTAACTTACAGAATGCGCCCAAAGTCTGGGATCCATGACTCCTGAGATAATGAAATTTGGGAAGGTTGTAGCTGTTCCAGTGTTATTGGCTACTTTAGTCATGTGATTTCCATTTGCTCAGCCAGTCTCACAATCCCTTGTTCCCTCTCCCACCTAGCAGCAGCCACTTACCTCCTCCTAAGGAAGGAGAATGGATTTCCAATGCTCCCTGCCAGATTTCCACAATTAATTAAGAATTCCATTTTATAGGAAAGCTGGCGGAAAGTTGGAAGTCGCTCCTGCTCCCACTGCTTTTTTGTCCACCCTTGGTCATTCTTTTTCTGTTTAGGTAAGAAAATATCTTCTGGAAAGATGACCCAAAGGGACACAAATTGTCTAGTTATTATTAAATGCTGCTATTTTTACAATCTTCTTAGTAACATTGTACAGTAGACATCAAATCAGATAAGCTAGGAAGAAAGTTAGAAGTTAACCTTAAAGCTAGTTTTTAGCCCAAACACTAATGTTATTGCTACTGCATCTGAATTAACGTTACTTGAGTAGCATATAAATGAATTACAGCTGGAAATTGGAAATGATAAGATTGCTCAATATAATGCATTTTAATTTTAAATGTGGCAGAATAGTGTTTTGAATCACATAAATGTTCTAACTAAAATGACTACTTCAATCTTGTAGTATAGGATGTAACAATGATCTGCCTCCTTAATATAGCTAGATCAAAATATTTATTTGGAAACCAGGTTAAAAACGGTCGCTCATCAGTATTTTTACCAGTGTCCAAAAAAGGTTCCCATTTCACCATTGCCTGCATTTTAAAAATCATATCAAAATCCTTCAACATACCTGTACATCTGATCCCTATCCTGGGCAGCTCGCCATCCTCCTCCACCTCCACCTCCTCTGTGAAAGGATAAGCAGAACGTTTTTAAAAAGCCTTGTTAAAATTGCAAAATACAAATAACTGATATAAAGGAATAATGTAGAAAAAAACAGTCCTGGAATTGAAAAAAAAAAAATTGTATGAATTGCATTACCGCACCAGCCACTGATACAACAAAATACTTGAAACAGAAAGTGTGTTGAATACTAAATCCTTTTTTCAAGCTCAACACAGATATTCTATTTTTAATTAAATGTTTCAATGCTATTCCAATTATCCCAGAAATTTTCATCCTTGAAAAAGGCGCTTTCTTAATTTAGGACAATTGCTTTAAGTTTGAATGGGGTATTTTGAGCTTGGAATACTTTGTAAGAATAACAGAAGAATCCTGCTGAATCAGGCTGTAAATTTACTTGATCCAATATTTTGTGTCTCACGTAGCCAAGTGGCTACATTAGGAAATATTATTATGCCTGAACTGGACAGCAATAATGTCAATTGTTAATTTCAGCAAACAATACAGGTAGCCCTCATCTTAAAACAGTTCATTTAGCGACTGTTCAAAGTTACAATGGAATTTAAAAAAGTGACTTATGAGCATTTTTCACTTACAATTGTTGTAGCATCTCCATGGCCTTGTGATCAAAATTCAAACACTTGCTAACTGGTTCATATTTATAACGGTTGCAGTGTCCAGAGATCATGTGATCACCTTTTGCAACCTTTTGACAAGCAAAGTCAATGGGGAAGCTAACTACTGTGACAAGAAAGGTCGTAAAATGGGGCAAATCTCATTTAACAAATGTCTCGCTAAGCAACATACATTTTAGGCTCAATTGCAGTCATAAGTCAAGGACTACCTGTATTTAAAGCATATTACCTGTGATTCAAGAGGCAGTAAAAAACAGCATCAGAAACAACTCATAACCTGATCTTAAATGAATCTGTTAAGTCTCCTTTTAAAAGCCCTGGCCTTAATTATTTTAAGGGGAGAAAAAAACTGCCCTATTTAATTTTTCTATACCATGCCTGATTTTACTGGTAATCCTCCTTTAACTGTTCATCCAGAGACCATTCAAAGTTAAAATGGCATTGAATAAATAGTGCTTACAGCTGGTCCTTGAAGTTATGGCCTTGCAGCACACCCCCATGTGTGATCAAAATTTGGGTGCTTGGCAGCCTGCCTACATTTATGACTGCAGTATGCACTACAGCATTCCCTGCCTGTCAGCCCCCCCCCCCCCCCAATCTGCTCCTTTGGTCACTTCACTTCACTCCACCTACATTTATTTTTCCCAGCTGACCTTCGCTATCTCTTTCCTCTCATTGCTGGCAGTTGCTGGTCTCTTGTGACAGGACAGGAGAGGTGTGAGATTCCCCCTAAAAACCGCAACTGGGATTAATAGAACTGCCATTGCTAAGAAGGGCAATCACTTAATGACCAATCACCCAATGACTGGTTCAGTTAGCTACAAAAATTCCAATCCTAATTATGGTTGTTAGGCAAAAATTACCTATATCCACTTTATGTCTGTGTTGCCTTTTTTAAAATAATAATTTATTTAATATTTAATTTTATTATTTAATAATTTAATTTGATATAAATCAAATTTAAAAAAACTAAAGAATCCTTAATATTATACCATTTTCTTATAAATATTATGTTGGAACATTCTATTATTTGGATATATTTAGACTTATAACTTATTTTTGAATATTTATTAATATATAGCTGAAAATTCATTCACAGTATCCATGAGCTGGCTTTTATCAAAACCCTTGCAAAAAGAAAATCAATTCTGTTTAGATTTATAGGGCTGCCAATCTCAAATACAAGCCACTGGAAAGCTTACAATATTATAGTATTTCCTTGGCAATAACTACTATTTTAGGATGACTCTATTCTATCTGTTTGGACATAAACAATAGTTTTGTATACAAACACACCCACACAACAGAATATAAGCAAATACTTTTATATTCAGACATCAACTGTTGGTGAGGTATCAGTGCAAATGATAAATAAGCAGTTTTAAGCACTTCTACATTTTGTGTAATTGGAAAGCACTCTTATCCAAAACATGATCCAAAATAGGATTTCTCTTCTTTAGAATTCAGCTGCAAAGGGCCGTGAATGAAAGTTATCTTTTTAGTCTCAATTCAGCCTGGGACACTCTAGAGAGATAGTACTGATCACGCTTGCAGATGATTTAGGATGGAGCTATGCAACCATAGATTTCTTATCATGACAACAGTATCTTGAGATTGTGAGATACTGTAGTGGTTCTTCTCCTTCCTCTGCATCTGGTTTCCAGTCAAATGTTGAATGGGAGAAACTAGCCCTAAGTCCCTGCAGCATGGGGTGCCTTAAGGCTTGGTCTCCCACTGTTCTCTTTAACATTTATATGGAACTGCTGGGTGAGGTCATTCAACAGCATGGGGTTACACATCTCCAGCTCTGGCCCGACTATTGAGGCGGTTATTGACTTTTGACAGGGCAGCACACCTTGGAACAGAGTTGGCAATTTGGCGTCCCTGTGGATTTACTGCTTCAACCTACGAAGCAGGTTGTAGCCATGGTTAAGAGGCTTTTTCAGAGATTCGCTTTGGGCACCAATCGTATCCATTCATGGACCAGAAGGCCTTGCTTACAATCACTCATGCTTTTGTCACTTCCCAGTTGGACTATTGACACATTGGCCTTGAAAGCAACCCAAAAGTTACAATTGGTCCAGAGCGAGGTGGCACATGCTACACTATATATTCCTAGATTTCCCCATTATAGACTGCCACTGCACTGCGCAGGGTGCACAAAATTCCCAGGGTTTTTTTCAGGTGTAATTCAAGACGATAGCCACATTTAAAAGTCTGACATGTCGTGGAGTCAGGCTGATTAGAGTGAACAAGCTTTAGTTTCCTACTCTTTAATATTGCCATTTATTGGTACTTAGGAATTGTGCCTTTCCTACATTCTACATGTGGGAAGAATGTTTCACACAACATTCTTCCCCTAAGATCTTACCCTTCCAGAAGGCTCTTCCCCCATGGGCTGGGATAGTGTAAATTTGAAGCCTGGAAATGGTTGTGTTGGAAGAGTTTTTCTTGTATTGTTCTTTTGTTTTTTATTGCTATTGTGAGTCACCCAGAATTGTGTTTCATAAGTTGGGCAGCCATATAAATTGCAGTGCAAAAGAAGAATATGCAATCGTTATCAAACAACTAATTAGATTTGGGAAGATTGTGAATACTGTTAAGACAAAAGGGATGGAGAGGGTGAAAGAAAGAGGGGGGGGAGGGAGAGAGGGACTGAGATAAACAGGCAGGCAGACTCACCTGTATGATCTACTATAATAGTCACGGTCATCATAGCCTCTATCATAACCTCTGTCATAATAGTCTCTCCGTCGGGAACTACCACTAAATGGGAAGTACATATAATATAGTATTAGAAAAAATGGATTATGCATGTACAATAAAGTAAAAAGCATTAAATTTGTTTTCCATTTTTCTATCAAATAGTGCTCAGATAATATAGTATATGTTAAAAATGTAATATCAAAACATATAAAATACTTCAATACCACCAGAAAAATATGTTGAAGTTATATCAAGTTTTGCACTATGAAGGCAGTTATATTACTTGCGGTCACATCTTATCTGTTAACTTTCTTTTTTCCCCTAGGTCATTGTTGTAGCTCTAGATAAGAATGATTTTAAAGCTTTTTGTAGGTCCACAATGCACTAAATACATAATGAAACAACTGCTATATATACTATGCTATTAATGTGGCTTAAGAAACCAGCCGACTTGATTCTTCCTACTCAATACTGTATTTGCAGACTGATATGCAAAATCATAGAGCTCAGCCATCAACCTTAATTTTTAAAAATATGAGCGTCAATGAATATCAACTGGGGAAAGATAAAATACATGTAGCCCTTAAGATGGTTGCTTCGCAACTTTTCAAAGTTACAATGGACATACCTTGGGGTTACTTACAACCCAGATTCAAAGTTCCGATGGTTGGGCCCGCCAGTCAGTAGTTTGATGGCCATTTGCAATGTCCTGCAGTCACATCACTTGTTTTACAACAGTTTTGCCAAAAAACTGGCATATACTTCCAGTTTTTGGCAAACTTGACCCCATAGTGAACCACTGGCTTGCTTAATGACTATGCCGGTCACTTTACGATGGTGTAAAAAAGATTCTAAAATCAGGTTGGTCATATGACTGTCCCATTTTATAATAGTCACAACTTATGATCATGATGGGCAGGCTTCATTATAGTCGTTAGTCAAAGACTACTGTTACTGCAGCCAAAACAGGATGTTGTGTGTGTCTCATATTCACATTTGTAAAATATAGAAAGCTGTGATATAGCTCAATAAAAAACTAGCGCTGTGTGCTGATCCAGGTTTAAAGAAAAAAATGTAATTTGGAACATATATAGGCATGCCATGAAGAAAGTGTCAGAAGTGTATCTTTTGCTGTGCTAACATGATTACTGGTGTACATTCCTGAAAAATATTCATTTGAGGCATGGTCTAATAAATTTCTCTTCAAATATAGTTCTCTGTCAAGCCTTATGATTGACTGGCCTGCTACTGCATGTTGCCATTATGCCATGGATAAACCCAGCTTGTTTATCACACTGTAGAAACCTATACCTCTTTCATTTCTGATTTGCCAAACTAATCTTGGTAGAACAGTTTATGGTTTGTTAGTTGTATCGATTCATAAATCAGGTGTAAGTAGAACAACATACAACAGCATTCTGCTTGTCAGTTGTAGGGACATATTGTTTGACATGTTGTACAGACTATAATTTTTTTTTAAAAAGTAAAGGTTTCTGCTGTCTAATCATATCTGACTGTAGGAGATGGAGCTCATCTCAGTTTCCAAGCCCGGAGAGCCAGTGTTGTCTGAAGAGGCTTCTGTGGTCATGTGGCCAGCATGACTATATGCCAAGGTGCATGGAACCCTGTTACCTTCCTACCAAACTGGTACCTACTGTACTCCCACACACAACCAAAAGTATGGATTCGGTATGTAGATGATACCTTTGTCACAATGAAAACGAGAGAGGAAACTTGAAACAAACATCTTCAAAGGAGTAACATTCATAAGAGGAAGAAAACAATAACATACTGGTCATTAGCAGTGGAAATGGCAGCAAATTAGAAATATAAGTCTATTGAAAAAACCACCCAAACTAACAAATGCTCCACTAAACAAGTAACAACCCAACCTCCCACAACAGATGCTATTTAAGAACATTATTCAGACAAGCACAAATGCACTGCAGCAACCCAGAACAGTTTCCAACAAATTGATAACCAAGCAAATTTATCAAAGAGTACCTGACCACTCAACCCATTACAACACAACCAACACAAGCTATGAAAAAGACAATGCTGCCATTCATCAAAACATCTCAAAAACAATCAACAGACTATTACAACCACACAGGATCACAATAGCATATAAACCAATGAAAGCTTTCAAAACATCTTGAGTAAACTGAAAGATCCAGTAGCCCAAGGGGGGAAAAAACCTTGAGTCATCTATTATATACAGTGTAAAAACTGCAACAGCCACTAAATAGTCAGACAAGCAGAGCACATCCATGAACACCAACTAACCTGAAAACATGATGAAAACTCCTTAATTTCACAAAACATGAAGAGACATAATCACAGTTTCAATCTTAGATCAAGCTAAATTCTAAAAGTGCTAGGGAATAGGAAGCTTGACTCAGAAAAATCAGCCATCAATAACACAAGGAGATAAATTAACATTGACACTCTATTCAGAGGTCAATAAAAAAGCTAAAAAGTAAACAAAAAGCCCAGAACACCTCGACAGCAATCAACATGCAGGTAAATCAGGGATTAGCACCAAACAATCAAGCAGCAACCAATAGCTTAATCAAGGAAATACCAAGGAGAAAATACCCTCACCAACAGGGAAAGCTACTGTATGTAAAAGTGGTCAAAATGCCCTACTCCTGCCTAGCAGTGAAGAAGTTACTGTATTTTTCGGAGCATAAGACGCACCTTTCCCCCCCTAAAAAGGGGTGAAAATTTAGATGCGTCTTATACACTGAATGTAGCCCCCCCCCCTGCGGTCTCTGCCTCCCAGCAGTTACCTCCTTGTAGCAAGCAGCAAGAAGGAATAGCTCATTTCAGCTTCAGCACAGCCTAATTAGCACAAGTTGATTTGATCGGCCTCCCGACTCTCAGCTGTTTTGCTTGCTGCAAGGAGGTAAATTGTTGGAACAGATTTTTTTTTCTTGTGCTAATCAAGCTATGCTGAAAATGAAAGTAAAGCAAGCTGTTTGCTGTAACAAGGCAAAATTGCTGGGAGGCAGAGGCAGATTTATTTTTCTTGTTTTCCTCACCAAAAAAGGTAGGTGCATCTTATAGTCCGGTGCATTTTATACTCCGAAAAATATGGTAGTTGGTTATGAAACATTTGAAAATAAACAACCTAGCTCAGAGAGCACCAGGACTCATAATACTTTCTAAAACAGTTCTGCAAAAATGCAAAATAACTTATGTTTAATCATATTTTTAAAAGGTTTAACTGATTTCATAATTGTAGATTGTGTGCCAAACTTGAATGTTATTATTTGGTACAGAATGCTGTGTTCTATATTCAAAACTGCTCATATATAACATTAAATTTGTTAGAAACCTTGACCCAATGAATTAAGAGACAAAAACTTACTAAGTAGGTCTCCCCATGTAAATTCCAGGAGTAGGTGTGTGGGGCCTTTTTGTTATTGAGAAATCAACTCTGATTCTTCTCCCATCAAGCTCCATTCCATTGGCTCTTTCTTTTGCCTAAATGAGGATTAAAAATATATTGCAGAATAAATTTAACTTAATCACAACTAGATATAAAATTAATAGCTGGAGTGGAAAGCCTATCAGAGCAGCTTTAACAATGTTGCAATACCACCCATACTATCTGCTTGGAAAAAAAAGTGTCATAACTTATACAATTACTTGTGAATTTATTCATCATAGCCTGAGTTTTATTTCGTGATCTCTCTACCATGAAAGAAGGCTAAGATTATGCTGGATGTAAGAATGAAACATTTTGTAATATACAAAATTATTTGTGACACAACTGAACAAAACAGGACAGAATCAAAATAGGATTCAAATCCCTACAACTACTATTAAATTATTGGGACTACCTGACTACCTGAGACTAATCCTCTCAAATTAACTTATTTCATTGAGACAAAAATAGAGAATTACGTAGCTCTTTACAGGAATCCAGAATATGTCATAAGAAAACTCTATTCTTAATATAACAATTCAAATACCAAAGACAATTAAATTTGCATTGAAATTACTTCAGTCATAAAAATCAGTGAACAACTGCACTGACTTAAACCCTAACATACCTAACATACTCATGTAGGTAAAATGAGGGAGAAACAGATAGAGGCTCTTTAATTTAATGGAGGACAAACAGAATATAAATAGTATGTATATGCAAAAAAAGGCAAAAAGGAAGATCTGCATGAACAAAAACTCTTGATGCTTGTAACATGCAAAACTTCAGTTGTGGTCAATTTTAAAAGTATATGTAGCTATTAACATAAATCTATGTTCAGGAAATATATTCTTTTTTTCATTCTGGAAAAAATATGCTTATACAACTTTAATTAGCATGTTTGCACATTAATTAATGTGAATTAATATTATTCAATATAAATACTATTCCTTACCTCCTTAGCATCATCAACACTTTCAAAATAAACAAAAGCAAATCCTCTAGAACGCCGAGACTGTTGGTCGTATACAATAGAAACATCAGCAATTGGACCGTATTTGGAGAATACTTCTCTCAGATCTCTTTCTGTTGTATATAGGCTTAATCCAAATACTCCAAGACAACAATTTGGGTCTGGATTTGCCTGCATAAAAAAAAAAAAAAAAGAAAAGAAATTCTCATAAGAAGTGAGTGTTCTATAAAAGAAAGAAAATGCTTTCAGATACAATTTAAAAATATCTATTTGATGTTAAATAAACTGCCTTTCCTAGAGTAAAAAAGGAAAGCAGAGAGCAGCACACTGTCCAAATCTCCAGAATGTTCTGTTGTACTTATTAATATACAAAGTTTAGAATACACTAACAAGTACTGATAATTATTGGGAGCTCTGATCTCTCATGCTTAACATGATTTACTTTTGTATTACTACAGCATGTTTCTTTTTATGTTTGGACATGAGAAGCTTCCTTTTTTCGTAATACATTTGCTCACACATGAGATCTCTTTGCCCAGTAGGGATTTAGATAAGTGTTTGTTAATCAACACTTTTAGATACATAATACAGAAACATTTTTGCACTGAATAAAACAATTGTTAAAAAAAAAGAATTTTGATAACTATATTTGAGTACAGGTAGTCCTTGTTTAGCAATCTTTGTAGGCACATCGTTGACAAAAAAGTACAACCAATACTTACATTTATGACTGTTGCAGGTTTGGTCAGGTAGTTTTGACTAATTACAATTAGCATGGGAAATTTATTGCTAAGTGTTATGTCATTAAGTGAGCTATGCCTGATTTTATAAATTTTTCATCATCGTTGTTACATAAATCACCATGGTCATTAAACAATACATGCCTCTCCCACAGACTTTGCTTGTTGGAAGCTCCTTGGAAAGGTAGTTAAATGATGATCACTTGACCCCAGGAGGCTGCAACTGACATAAATACAAGTCAGGTGCCAAGTATCTAAATTTTTATCAGGAATGTGGAAGTGCTGCAAGGACTTGGCAGCAAGTAATTTTTTTCATCATTTTTTTCATCATCAATGTAACTTTGAATAATTGATAATTGAATGATCATAAATCTAGGACAGCTTGTAAGGCAAAGGAAAGCTGAAGAACGTTAAGCACAGTCTTACAACTATTTTGCTTAATGACCATCCCAATTGTGATTGCTAAATGAGGACTATTTGTATAAATGATTTTCCCTATAATACAATCTACAGCCATGTTATCTTATTTTATGCATTTAAGTAAGTTTTCTTAAAAGAGCTCTATAGGTTTCAACAGATTCTCAAAGAGGTCCATTGCCCAAAGAGCTTAAGAATCTCTGAATTAGAGGATTTTGTGCAATAGGTTTTTTTTTTACTATACTTCTACTGAAATTATTTGTTTGTTTATACAAGACATTTTTGTTAGTACATGAAATTGGATAGAAGTAAATGTGTTTTTTCTGCAGTGAATCATTAAAATCACTACAATGTATAACTACGATCAGCTGCTTTCCATCTTAAAATATATTAAACTATATATATAACCTATATGAAAAAATCATGACATAACTCATTAAGAGTTAAAAATGTCTTAGCAAACTTTAAAACAAACTAAAAGATGTAAATTAAGACATAATATAAATAATTAGTATACAATATCTATTTTAAATAAAATTTACTAAATACATTTAGCATCAATACAACTTTAACAATATTAGCATTATTAACAATACAATTATAACTTTACAAGATTTCTGGGTAATTTGAAAACTTTAGAACCTCCAAAGACACACACAGCTGAATTATCTCTGGTCAACTGCTGCCATCCCAGCCTTACTCTGTTGCCAACATGACGCCGACGAGTAGACATAGGAGAATGGCTGTGACTATGTCGGCGACGATAGTCGCGGCTATAAGATCTGCTTCTTGATCGTCTGTGGGATCGAGAACGTGAACGTGATCTTGTATAATGTCTGCGAGAACTTCTCCTTGATCTGGATCTATAAAGCATTCAAATTAAAAATGTCATAGTGAACGATAAACACACATTTCATTAATAATGGATGTATAAAATTGCTACTATATTAGAACTAAAATGTACATCTATATGTATGCAATGCTCCTATCAAAGAATGGAAACTGTAAGCATTTCCTGGAATTGGTGGAACCAAGATTTTCATCTAACTCAGGAAAAATATTTTTTGGAATTAAAAGGCCAATAAGTTGAGTTTACAACATTTTTAGTTACATAATCCTGTGGCCTCTGGGAGGTGCTTCCAAAAAAGGATAGGAGCAAAAGGCTAATAGCAACAATAAAAGCAGTTCAGGTCACACTGGCTAATTCTGAAACAGATTTTATGTCGTACCTGAAGGTTAATACAGAAGAAATGAACCAATGCACAAAACATTTCAAGTACAAAATCAACAATTCAAATGCTCCAAGTTCACAACAAAAATCCAATGTTTGAGTTTCTAACTCAAAGTTAGTTACAGCAGAACCCTCAAATTACTTAAAGTTTTGTTCCATTGTTGATTGGTCTAGGCTCAGGGTATTTTTCTCATTCTGTTCACACCCTTAATCACATCACTACTGCAACCAAGGTAGTGGTGCTGTGTTGCCCTCAACTATACTTTTTATGGGAAGGAAACCTGGAGCATGGACTTTCCTGAAGAGCTCAGTAGGAAAAGGATATCAGAAACATATTTCAATTACAATATGTTTCTGTTGTAAATGAATCCTAGTGAGGCATCAGGAATTTCAAAGCAAAAATATATGAAGACAGATTTTTTTTATTCCTCTTGTCATTGACATATTATTCTACTGTTGTTGTGTTAACGTCATGGACAATTCTGGAATCCACTTCTCTGACTGGGTGGAATGTTCATAAATGTACATATATAAATATACGTACATAAATACAGTATGTTTTTTACATGTTAGCAGACATTATTTAAATCTAGAGGTACTAGAATATTAAACTTTGAACCTTTTTGCACAGCTAATCCTCAGGTTGACTGCAATTAGAGCAGGACCTCCTTCATTAAGTAGTGCAGTTGTGCGATGACTGCATCACTTAGCAAAGCAATCGAGATTGTGTTGTAACTCAAGATGTGTGAGTCGCTAAGCTGAAAATGGAGGATGTAAGGCAAGGAGCATAGGATGCTACTATGGGATGGAGAGGTCCTGGAAGTTTTTCATTCCTAATAGTTAAGTCAGGTGATTCTTTCATGTTTAGTAGGCTGTGTGGATCTGAGGGCAGGGGTCCCCAACCCTCGGGCCATGGCCTGTTAGGAATGCACGTCATGCAAGCGGTGGGCAAACAAAGCTTCATCTATGCATGCATGGGATCTAGGTTGCACACAAAACACACACACCAGTCTGTGGAAGACAACTTTTCTTCCAAAATTGATTCCTGGTGCCAGAAAGACTGGTGACCAGAGATGTGTGGTGCACGCAAGTACAAGGAGATTGGGAAAAGTGTGTGCAGGTGAAGGTGCATCTGAGTGAATGGGGGAAGGAGGGCATGGTATAAGCAGGGCAGGAGGGAGACTTACCTGAGCAATGTGATCTTCCTTGCTAGATTCCCCACTGACTTTGCTTGTGGGAAGCCAGCAGGGAAGGTCAGAAATGGTGATCAGGTGACCACAGGTTGCTGTAACCAGTTGTAAGTACGAGCTGGTTACCAAATACCTGAATTTTATTCATGTGACCATGGGGATATGACAACAATCAGAACTTCAAGGACCAGTTGTAAGTTCTTTCATTCAGTATCTTCGTAACTCCAAATGGTTGCTGAATGAATGGTCGTAATTTGAGAACTACCTGTAATGAACTCTAGGGTCCAGTTATATTAGGATCCAGCTATATTATTTACTTGCCTAGCAAGACTTTAATCAACCATTGTTTCAATCAAGATAAGCCATATTATCCTTATGTACAATACAGCAATTAAACTCACTAGGGACACCTATAGTAACTAAACAAGATATAAATGATAATTGGGAATTGAGGACCATCTGGAAATTTTAGCACTAAATTCCAAGATCATTATGATTTAATTAAATTCTCATTTAATGAGAATTAAAAGAAAGCTTGCAAACATAAATCTCATAGGGAAATAATTGCAAATCACTCATGTTAACACTGCCAAGAAAACTACATGAATACAGTCACTAAGCTCAATGCAAGAGCATTTACGTGCATTTAGATAAATTTGAGATAAATTTAACAAAAATATGCATCACATAAGCTTACCGAGATTCAGATCTTGATCTAGATTTTGACCTAGATCGTCTTGAACCCTCCTTGGATCTAGATCTAGCAGGGGAATGCCTCGGAGACTTGCCAGAACCATGAGCACTTCCACTTCTGGAAGCAGAACGGGACTCCTGTGTATAGAAAATGCATAATTTAGTTTAAGTTCAATGTCTTTAGTATTTTAGTCTAAAGAAGTTCTGGTGAAAAATAAAGTTCTTTGTCTCCATTATGTGTCCGGGCAGTTGCCACTAGAACTGCCTAGATTTAGGATTTTTTTTTTTTGCCTGTTAAGCACTTCTTTTAAAAAAAAACCCTGTGTGTTTGTTCGTCTATTAAACAAATAATGCATGCATGCATGTTTATCAAAATATACAGGGACACATAAACAGACTAGTAATTACTTAGCGTAGTGCTTTCAGATTCCAGATTACTTCTTATCTTAACTTCATTTTTATTTCTTTTCTTCATTCTTCCGTTTCAAATTCTGACTTCTTTCATCTTCCCCACTTCACACAAATTGCTCAATATTCTATAAGTGGGACTTCTGGTCTGATAATTAGCATGCATTCACTTTCTTTTTTTTCAAATTTCAGCTTCACTTATTCCTGAGCTTCAAATAATTCTCATTTATAAAACTTGTCAAATGGCGACTTCCGCATTTTCCTTCTTCAACATTAACCTTAATAAAAAAAGAACAGGATGAAGAATATTTAAAACTCCAGGATAGATATCTAGTGTCAAAACTGAAACTAGAAAAAATGCTATGTGTTTGCACGGCTTTTAATTAGTATGCAGTTTTGTTTTAATATTGTGATGCCAGGTTTATGTCTGAATTTTTATTTATTTTTTTTAGAAAAATGTCAATTCAATTAAAAAAGGTTGACCAGCTACAAATTTCCTAATTAAGCCTACTTTAGATATCCAAATAGTTGAGGATTTAACATACTGATGACTTTTTCATATTTAACATTTAGAAATTAGTAATGTTTTTCAAAATCACGTATTCGTATAATTCCACTCAACTGAGCTATTTTTAATAGAGACAGAATATATGGATAAACTGAAGAACCTTATTTCTCAATAGCATGTGCTTTAATTTCTTCAGCAATTATGGAGTATTCTATCATATGTAAGAGAGCAGTCTTAAAAACAAAACAAAAAAACAAAACAAAACAGGAAGCCTCTGGCAGCACCTTTTTGACTAGAAGAAAATAATTGAAAAGCATATGCTTGTGTGACCTTTTGTGAAATGCAGCTAATAAAGTGGACTGAGACTCGTAAAAGCTTATTATAAAAGCCTTTTCATAAAATTTCATAAAAAAGTCAGAAAAGTGCTGCCAGACTTCTGATACGTCACAATGAAAATTTTATGCTAACATTTTAATTAGTCATAAGAACAGAAAATACATTTGTTTTAAACAATGTATTTTCCAAGCTTATAAATTGATATTTTAAAATTTGGTAGTTTTTTATGTTAAATAATTAATACCAATTATTTTAGAACTTCATTTTAATTCTCCTTTTTACAAGTAACATCTATCTAGTTCCTACAATATTTGCACGGACAATACAAAAATAATGTAATACAACTGTTACTGTACCATATACAAAATACAAATGTAACATCACAGGAAGTCTTAGGAAAATTCAATAAGGACATTATGTTATAAAACTATGCACGCTCTCATGCAACATTTCAGTTTTATCATTCATAACTGATAATGGCTAAAACTATACCTTGTTACTGCTAAAGGCAAGTTCATAGATACAGTGTCTCACCTGAACTTCTTGGTACATCTCTTTCCTCAACACCCCACACCCCATGAAAATAGAAAGAATTCTCAACTCACAAATTTTTGGTACATAATGCTTATTTGAAAAATGTGACCTGACAAAGTATTCACATTAAAGGGGGAGTGAATATTTTGTTGAAAACAGGGTTTACTTATTTACAATATTTGTATAAATTTTTCATTCTTTTTTTAATTCTGAAAATGACCTATAAATCTCAAAGCATTTATCTTTTAAAAATGTACAATATAGTTTAAATCAAGTTTGATATTTCATGTATTTTCTAAAAATGATGTAAGATTTTGTAGCACACTACATTTACTATTACAGTAAGTATTATTTATACATTTTCATTTTTATAACTGGGTCATTTTTTTTTCATAATTTGGAATTTTATTGAAATAACAAATGACTGCAAAATAGTCCTCTATAGTGTCTATTATATCCAGCAATCATGACAGATTGAGAATGTAGTTATGGGAATGGCACACAAAAATAGCTCAACTGGAAAGTTACTGAGCAAAATAAACAGTTTAGTTCTATGGAATAAAAATGGAAAATCTGGCTAATATACATATTAGATAATGAATGAACCACTAGTTGTTTAGACAAGAGTATGCTACTTACTTTTCACACAATTATATCCCAGCAAGTAGTAGCCTGAACTTCCCTCCAAATATGGAATATTTAATGTTTACTAGTGTCATACAAGCTGCATGAACTGAAATCATGGACTTAGTTTAGGTAGTCCTTGAGATGCAAGAGGTCACTTAAGGACTGTTCAAAGTTATGACAGATGCCCCCAAACTACATATAAACCTGTCTCAAAGTTATGACAATGCAGTGACTCTGCAGTCATTCATCCTTATGACCCCACCATAAAGACATTGAAGCACTCCCCACCCCCTTTCCCCCATCCTGCCCCCATGGCCTGTTGCCCATGCCTCCTGGAAGCAACTGCCCTTTTCCACATGCTGGCAATCCCTTGTGGTCACTGTGGTGTTCCAATAGCCTAGCAAAAGCCATGGCGGGGGTTGCAGTTTCTCAACGGCTAGCCAGGAGTGGGTTTGCTGTCTCTTAACAAGCAGCTAAACAGGCTAGAAAGCTATGAAAGGCTGGAAAACCAGTCTTTGTTTTTCCCCAGAAAAGCAAGAGCACCTCAGTAGGAGGAAATGCAGTGGCATAACCAAGAAAAAAAGGCAGACCCAGCATTTTCCTTCCAGTTTCTCGCTGGCAAGACAGTCAGCTATGAAGCGTGCATGTGTGGGAGCCAGCAGGAGGCATTAGGGAAGAACAAGCTCTTTTTCCTTCCCTTCTGGAAGCACAATTTTGAAGGGCCCACAATTCATTATGACTACTCTGAAAATGGCTCTTGCTTCCAGGCTGCAGCCATGCGGTCTGGAGACAAGCAACAGCTTGCTCTCATTCCTAAGGTCTCTGTTAAAAGATGAGCGACCAGCAGGGAAGATTCTGCATGTGGGACCCAAGGGATGGAAAGCAAAGAGTATCTCAGGGGGCAGGCCCTGAGCAGTCTAAGGCAGGTGGGTTTGTGCCTGGACTAAGCCTCTCAGGATTACCCTTACCCCTGAGGAACCCCATGCTCCATTTAATGATTGCACTGGGCGATCAGGGATGGCTGGTTGTTATGTGATACAGTTCATTTAACGTTTGTCTCAAACGTACAACTGTAATGAGCAGGCTCCATTACACTCATAACTCAAGCACTACCTGTATTTAGCTGCAGGCAACTATACGGTTCCAAGTGTTATAATTAAGTATGTTTTAGGAAAAAAATGAATTAGATACTACATTCAGATTGACACTGAAGATTATATATCAAATATATATCTCATGGGAAATGTAATATCTAAATCTAAACAGGTGTCAGTTTCAACAAAAGAGAGAATGATCCTGTAGCCAAAAAGGGCATTTTCAGCTTTGGCTGGTGCACCCAGTTGTGACCATTTCCCAAACAGAAGGCCCCGAATATAAACATTTGTGTGGTACAGGTAGTCCTTGACTTACATCCACAGTTGAGCCCAAAATTTCTGTTGCTAATTGAGACATTTAAGTGAGTTTTGCTTCATTTTACAACTTTTCTTGCCACAGTTGTTAAGTGAATCTGGCTTCCCCATTGACTTTGCTTGTCAGAAGATCGCAAAAGGTGATCACATGACCCCAGGACACTGCAAATGCCATAAATGTGAGCCAGTTGCCAAGCATCTGAATTTTCATCACATGACCATGGGGATGCTGCAAGTCATAAATGTGAAAAACGGTCATCAGTCACTTTTTTCAGTGCCGTTATAACTTTGAAGGATCACTAAATGAACAGCTGTAAATTGAGGACTACCTGTATTGATACCCATTGACCAGATTACTATTTGTTGTATATGGGGTTGCCTTGGAAGACTACTAAGAAACTTCAGATGATGCAGAATGCAACTGCCTATGAGGTAATGGCTCAGACACTTTACTGTTGCATTACCTCAATATTAGGGGATTTGCACTGGCAATTAAGTTAATTAATAGCAATTAATATGCTATTTATCTCCTATTAAGCCCTAATTAAAGGTGTTAGTCATCACTTTTAAAGCGCTCCATGGCTTAGGACCTGGGTACCTACGAGACCGTCTTTTGCCACCAATAGCCTCCCACTGACCAGTTCGTTCTCACACGGGACTACTCAGGGTACCATCAGTCAAATTATACTGACTGGTGACTCCCAGGGGGAGGGCCTTCTCTGTGAGGGCTCCAACCCTTTGGAATGAACTGCCCCCGGAGATACGGAATATCCCTGATCTCCGTGCTGTCCGCCGTGCCCTCAAGACCCTGATGTTCCAACAGGCGGGGCTAAACAGATGAACATGTGAATGATTTTTAAAAATGTTATCTAATTCTGGGTTTTATTTAATTGGCCAAACTAAGTAATAATTTTAATTAGCAATTTTATGATGTTTGTGTGTCTATATTTTTCTTGGCTGTACACTGCCTTGAGTCCTACGGGAGAAAGGCGGTATAGAAATATAATATAATATAATATAATATAATATAATATAATATAATATAAATATAATATAATAATATAATATATATAATATAATATAAATTAATATAATAAAACAAATAAATGTCTTATGGCCTAGATATTTTCAAGATTGTCTATTCTCACCCCATGTATACAAACAGAAAACACCTGCTGAATATTTACATATCATGATATTCAGTAGGAAGGGGCACAGAAACCAGCACTTTGAGTGCTCCATCTATTAGAACAGAACAATTACTAGATATGAAGGTGGCCTCCTCTTACAATCTTCCAGAAACTTGTTAAAATTTGGTTATCCTGGAAGCATTTTAGTAAAATGTTGTCCAAATAAGATGGAATGCCATGAATTCTACTGCAGTTTGAGGTTACTGTAATTAACTGTTTTACTTTCATTGTGTTAACTTTTTATGTAGATTGATTTTATACCATTTCTGAAGATATAAATATTTAATAAAGCAATAAAAATAAGTTGTAATTGCATTAAATTTGTTAAAGCTTCAGCACATGAAATGTAGTTCAATACATAGAAACAACCCAATTCCTTCCAAATATTCTGAACTACAATTTCCACAACATCCAACTTCGGTCATGTTGGGACATCATGGAAACTGTAGACAAAATATCTGCAGGGGAGCAGGTTGCTTATATAAGTACAAATAAAATGACAGGTTCACATGCATTTTCTATATGGATGGAATAATGGTATTATATACAAATCAAGTAAACAAGAAACCTCCTTTTAAAAATGCTAGTTTGTCCTTAAAGCTGGTTTTATGTTATGTTTTTAAAGCATAATTTGGAATCTTAAACAAAAGTGCTGGTTGATTTTCTAAAAATTTAAAAGTGTTTTAAGATTTTAAAAGTAACAGGTTCTGCTCACAGTCATCCATATAACAGTGCTAGAAGACAATATTTACTGGAACCAATAAGCTGTGAACACTCCTGTCACCTTTTAGGTACCTTTTATTATTTTGGTCCCTTGTTCCCAGACATGACATTACAGATATTTTGTGGAAAAGTTAGATTTACATAACAGTTTTGCAACAGTATTCATGATGTGCTTTTGAAAGTCTGAAAATGTTCACTGATCAAAAAGATTACCTGTTTATGCTACATGAGAGCCAACAAATGCATTCCACATAAAAATAATCTGCTTTTAAAATGCATTCCCTCTTTGGTTTTGGCAGCAAAAGCTTTCTAGAAACCAGTAAAGCGTGTTCCTCTAGAATCTTAATGGTTTTCATGTTTCATGCAGATTCATTTTCTTCCACCAAAGTGATTCCCAAGTCAGAACAATATTGAGTAAAATATGAAAGATAAAACTCTGTATAATTTATTTTCAAAAATATGTCATTTATTCATTCAGCTTTTTTATGAAAATCCACATGCAGAGCAGCTAAGCACAACTGGTGCTCAATTTTTTTAATGAAAATACCGAGTTGGCTACAGTAAGAAATCCAATAATTCATGGTATAAACATCATTGCAGAGTACAGCATTTCCTCTTTTTTTCTTTACCTGAAAGTAATTTCAAACTGTTCTATCCCCTTTTTTTAACGATTTAGGTAATTTTTCAATCAACCTATCTTTAAAATTTAATCCCAGCAACAAGCAAGAATCAAATGTAAAAACATTGTCATCAAGAAAAATAGTCTTAAAAACAAGATGAATTTTTAGTAGTAAGGAGTTTCAGCAAATAAGTCCAAATTTTGATTTCTGGATAATACAGGACACATTTCTACAGTTTTTAAGGGATAAGTTTATTCAGAATTAAAATTGTTGGAGCCACAAGTAAAAATTTTGACTTCTATTACAGTACAGTTTGCACTTTCCTTACTTTATTAAATCTGGGAAGAGACCAGTAATTTTGTAATATACTATAGTGTGATTGCTTCCTACATTACGGAACTCCTGAACAGAGAACTAGCCTGTATGACTTGGTTTTGAAATTCAGAGATTATAAGCACTTCAACATTTCTTTTAGTCTGCAGTTTCAATGAGTGTTAAACTAAACATTCAAAAATATTTTGAGGAAAAGCTTTCTGTATTAAATTTTCAGTGACAAGTTTACAAACTTTTAAATTGATTTCATAAAAAGAACATGTGAAACCCTCATCCTTGTCTACACAGATCTGGCACATCCCTTTCAATTTAACTACCACGCTGAGTTCATGCCTTCAGTTTTATCCCCATCTATCCATTTTCAATGCCTTCATTTCCACATTATTCTTTCCCCCAACATTTATCTAAGGCTGTGCCCATACTAATCTCTACCTTGCAGTAATTTCATCCATAGCTAGCAGCATGTTCAGCATTTTTTTCCAGGAGGTAAAACCCACCCACTATGCATTTCTCTGTCTTGTTTCCATTTACTTAAGAGTGTTTACCATGCACTGTTGCTCTCAAGAATATTTGTAGATTTATTTTGAATATATTGGCAAAGAAAATGCAGGCATCCTTTCCAGTTACATTGAATTGTTTTTTTTTTTTGTTTAAAAGCCAGATTTTTCTGTGAAGCAAATCTGAATAATTAGAAATGTTTTTTCAAAAGGTAGTCCTTACACAACTATGCAAGCAAGTTTTTAAAAAATCCACAGAATTTAATGCAGAATTATCTTTGGAGGCTACTCTGATAATATAAAATACATTTCAATCATTCATCTTAAAAGAAGACATAACCTGTGAGCCAAAATTCAATTACTTTGCAAACCTAAGAAATTAACTTAATGAAGAATTGAATATGTATTTCTTAAGGACAGCAAACTTCTATTTCACCGCATGTTACTAATTAATCATGTCAAAGGTGCTTTCCAAAAGGCAACTGGACTTTCTTGGTTTCTTTAAAATGTTTCACTTCTCATCCAAGAAACTTCTTCAGTTCTGAATGAGAACTGAAATGTTTTCAAGGAAAAAAACCCCCAAGATAGTACATTTGCCTTTTGAAAAGCACCTATGAGACAATCATGAACTGGATGACTGAGAATCTCTATAGACACTACTAATTAATGTAACATCACCTAGCTAACTCTACTGAACAATATATATGGGCTTGGAAGATTAGATAGGCCTAATTGGAAGATCAAAGCAGTACTAGCGTGTGATGCTGGGAAAAAATATCAAGGACAAAGAAGACATAGAAAGATTTTTGCACTGACGCTGAGAAGGCTATATGGATATGTCCACTTAACTCAAATTTGGTTTCAGGGTGCCTTTGTCTACTTTCAACATATTAGCTTCCCAGGAAATGAGTATTTTAAAAAAACACAGCATTTTTTTTTACTCTATAGCTTGGTCTTCTACCAAGGTGACATCAATGCAAATTTAAAACTGTAGTGCTAAAAGAAAACCATGCCTATTAGGAAAATTTACTGTAGCCAATTTTACACGGTAAAAATGGTACTCATTTACAGCCAGGTATTTATCATAGTATGTGCTAAATTATTTTATACTGCTGAATGCAAGTCATATAATATTTAGGATTCACAACTACAAAGATAAGCCATCAAGTATGCTTTAGAAGATTAATAATGGTGGCTATATAAACATGATTTATTTATTTTTTGCAATCCCCCCTTCTGAGCTCAGTTGAGTCTCAGTGCAGAAAACTGAAAAGGTGAAAGGAACCGTTTTCTTACTCAATTTCTCTTTCTGAATCAGCAATCCAATTTGATTAAAATATTAATACCATGGCTGAGTTAGAGAATTCCTAAACATGCACATACATGATTTGTATTTTCCGAAATTCCAGACTTCATCTCTTCATCTTTTGCACAAAATCTACATTTTTGCCATGCAACTTTCAGTTACAAAAGTTGCAAAATGACTGTGGCTTTTTCTCCTCTTGCTGTAATGTTGAATGAAGCCCTGCAAAGCAGCAGCCTAAACACTGTATCGCAGTTGATGTGCAGCATTTGTGCACAACCGTATTTTTTTCTGCTTTGTTTCAGATTCAGCTATATTAAACCAATGCTTTTATTGCTAATTAGCAGATAAACCAATATTATTACGCTGTTTGAGAAGTCAATGTAGTTTGAAATAAAAAATTCAGCTTTTTAAATTATCCACTACCTTCGGCGAAGCCTCACTTATTCTGCCTTTCTATTCCACAAACACGAATAGGGTATGTTAAGTTTACATTCAAAGAACCCATACTGAACATTATTTTTCAATGTATTTTTTAAGGAAATGCTTTGTATGCTGCGATACAGCTACGCTGGGCTTTGATGACAATGCCTTTCCGTTAACAAGTCAAATTATACAAGAATTCACGGTGCACGTGTGCAAGAGCAAAAATTTGGAGCGAAGCTGAAACACCATCCAGTAAAGCGGAAAGAATGAAATATCTAACTATAATCAGAGGCGTCTGGATGGAAACACCGCGGATGGCATTTGCAAAGAAATCAGCTCTATAGCATTCCAGCGAGGAAAGGTTGCCAATCTTTTCCGCGGCCATTTTGTCCCCGCGGCGGCGCGTTCCTGCGGGTCAACTGCCCAAGATGGCGTCGGGAGAGGGGCTCACCATAGAGCTCCACGTCACAGCGCGCCCTCTCTACAGGAAACGGTGAGCCATTTTCTCGCGCCAAATCAAGACGATTCAGGCTAAAACGGGAGAGGACGTTAGGCCGGATGAACAGCCGTTTGTTTCCCCATTCAAGGTCTTTCCCTCTAGCTCCACGCCAGTCCCAGAGAAAAGGGAAGAGAAGTCAAGATGCTTTTTCTTTAAAAGGAAAAAAAGCCGAAAATGCGTGTTTTCTCTTTTAATTAAACAGGCTGCTTAAACCGCGCTCGCAAGCACTGTATATTACCCGCTCGCCGTAGTTCTGCTCCCCGCTGTCGCTCATTCTCCCGTTTAGGAGCGCTGGACGCCAACCACGGTTTCTAACGCCAAACCGTCTCTTCGCTAGTCTTCTCCGCAGAGGAAATGACGGAGTTTCCCAAGCCCCGCCCTCGCGCTCGAGCGTCAACTGCCTCGCTCCTTCTTCTTCCGTTCTCTTCGGCTCCGGGCACCTCCCTTCCGGGGGGGGGGGGGGCAGGCGCGGCTCTCCTCGTCTTGGGAACCTGTTTTATGCGAAGAGTCTTTTTAAAACGAATTTGTCTATCATTCATTTACCGTTTATATTCGGGTTAGAAATAGCTCCTTGTGCAGCCCATAGGAATACTTTGGTGTTAAGCACGAGAATTACCTTTTATGGCTGGTAGCCCTTCCAGTTGTGGAAAAGGGCGGAGAAAGAAATGACGACGACGATTTCAACCCCAGAAGCTAGACAGGCTCTTCCCATCCTCCCCATTCACAGGCTATTATTCCCAACTGTCCAGTGGGAAGAATCAATCATGGAACTTATTTTTAGTATTTGTTTTGGTTGGTGTATTCGATAGGATGTAGATTCATACCTGCTGCAATTGAAGAGACTTCAGCGATTCACAACATTGACAACACAATAAAACGTTCACTGTGTTATCGGTAGAGTAACAATAAATCATACAGTTAAAACGAAGACAAGCAGCAATTAACAATCAGAGAATAACATAGATGGCATGACTACATACCCCAAGTATTGGCTATAATAATGCTGTTTTTAATATTTTTCAGAAAGCAACTGGGAAGCTGATCAAATTTCTAGGGAGAGGCTATTCCAGTGCATCCCAGCGATAGAAAATTAATACTGTATCCCTCCAGACACCTCACTTTGCAGAAATGGGAGGCCACTAGGAGATTTTTCTCATGATTTACAAATCGAAACTAGAGAAATAGTCTTAGAAATGTTTTGGTGTCAGGTCATATAGAGCTTTAAGATAAATTTAAGCTAAAATGTGCTAAAAGAGCCATTATTGTGTAATAGTGTAGGAAGTTAGCACCCACCCCTTTCCTGGAAGAATGAAATATTTTAGGAAATATTAAAAAAAGGCAGAATATTATGTTTCCCTGGTTGAGAAATGGAGAAACATGTTTTAAAGACAAAGCAACTCCCATCTTCCTGCCTCCCCCACTTTGTTAATGGGCCAGAGGCAGAAACTTAATCTTTGACAATAGGACCCCTCTGCAACACAATAGCAACAGAAACTAACACAATGGGACCCATTTAGGACAGAAACTCACCACATGGCACCTGGGAAAATTACATCAGCCAGCAAGGCTAGCTAAGACCCCCACCCACTGGGAGTCTGACAACCAGTCAGGATACTCTTTCCGGGCCCCAGAAAGTTCAAAGCCAGAGAAAGCATAAAACCCAGGGACTCGCTGTATCTCGTCCCTTTTCTGTTCAGGAACTCAAGCCATGTGATCCTGTCCACCATTAAACTATCTTTCCAAGAAGTCTCCCATGTTTCCAGTGTCTTTTTCCCCACTTGGAGCTGAGCCCAGAAGGATATTTCTTCCTAAAATAGTTAAGGTGCCAGTCTAGAGCAGCAGCACAGGAAGCCAGTGCCAATTCTGTTCCAAATAATGGATATTGCATGGTCTTGATCTATACCGATCAATAAACGAATGCTGCATTCTGGACCAGATATTCAAAGAAATGAATAATAGAATTCAAGTGTGCATAATGGATAGGTTTTCTGGGACGGTTGTAGTTTTGAGTAATCTATAGAGGCAGCCTTATGTGAAGTATTTTGCAGTACAATAGTTTAACCAGGTAGTAATGAGAACACAAGTTGCTGTTACCAGGTCCTTTTACTCCAGGGAAATTCACAATTGGCATACAACTAAAGTTGACTATCGGCCAGTGATGGTGAACCTTTTTTTCCTAGGGTGCCAAAAGTGTTCGCGCGAGCATGACATCCATAATGCAATGCCCCACGCAGGCCCTGCCCTTGTGCATGCGCGTGCGATCCCCCCCTGAGCTCCCCCCTCTCCCTGCACATGTGCACCCACCTCCGTTTTGGTGCTAGCAGGCCTCCCGGAAGCCTGGAACCAAAAGTGGTGGATGGGAGGGGCATGTTGCACCCCCCCACACATCCTGTTTTTGTGCTAGTAGGTCTCCCTGAAGCCTGGAACCAAAAACGGCACGGGGGGTGCCGCACCCCCCACCCCCGTGCATGCGCACGCGTCTCCCGGCAGAGACCCAAAAATCAGCTGGCCGGCAGGAGGCGCAAGGGCATGCGCAGTGGAGCTGACCAGAGCGTCGGCTTGTGTGTCCGCAGAGGTGGCTCCACATGCCACCTGTGGCACGTGTGCCATAGGTTCGCCATCATGGCTATAGACCCTTCTATAGCCATGCCTTCCAAGTGCTGTTGAAGCAGAAGGTATGAGTTCAGAAGGACTCCCAATTTTAAAACCTGTTTTTTCATGAATAGTGTCCATCCGATCACATTGGTACTGACAGAGATCCCCAATGTACAAGTAGCAACTTTGTTTTTCCTGGGTTTAACTTCAGCCTGTTTTTTCCTACCCAGAACTTTACAACTTGCAGGCATTCAATCAAGGTTTTTTAAAAGTGGTTTACACTGCCTCTTTCATAGGACTCAGAGAAAATGAGTAGCCTAAGGTCATCTGATTTTTTGTTTAAGGCAGGACTAGAATTCACACAATCCTCCAGTTTTTAGCCTGATGCCTTAACCACTACACCAAACTAAGTCTCCCAGAACCATTATCAGCCTTTAAATCTCAGTAGGAAAGCCACTCTACAAAAGGCAGTGAGCCAAGATATATTTTTATAAAAAGGGAGAGAATGAAAATTATTCATTGATATAATAAAATTATTCATTGATATAATAAATAAATATAATATTAATATTTACAACTTAATATCAAAGCAATCTCCCCAAAGTTACTAAGGGGAAAAACTTTTCAAAATAAAAATCAAGGTTGTCTTGAATCTATTCAGTCAGACATATTTCTAGATATATCGTATAAGGCCTAGGATTACTATGAGAATGTACAACAGAAAAATTCAGGAATAAGTCACAGTTGTCCATTCTACTACCTGTGTAACAAATATTCTGTATACACATCAGAAGCTTTTATCCTGTTCTCTATATCTTATCAATGGATTTCTGCCAAGGTTTTATTCTGATTAGTGAAAGTGCATTTTCTTTCTTCTTCTGTCTCAAGTTTTCTAAATGAAAAATTTACACCTTCTCAATGATAGTGGTATTGAGGTAAGATATGTCCAACTCCTGCTGACGACATACAACTGATGGCGATCCAGTATCTCTTCTCTAGTTCTTGGATGTTATATTCCAATGCAATCTGCTTTTAGTAGCAAGAGGGTCTGATTCTTTTAAAGCAGGCTTTCAGTGTATCAACTCTCAGCTGATCTATGGGACTGAAGAATTGCTGGAAAAGAGCAATCTCTCCCTTCTCTTGCTACCTGTTCAAAACCAAGGTCCAAGATCTTGGATCTGGGATGGTGTTATTTTTTAGCTGCAAGTTCTCTGAACCTATGAAGATGAGATCAGAGAAGTGGCCAAAAAAGAGAGAGAGAGAGCGAGCCTGATTCCCTGTTGCAGGTGTTCTATTATGTCTCTTGGGAATGAAAATGGAAGTGAGGATGGAAGCAGCTTTTTTCCAGTATTGCAATCCTGGGAATCTTCTCTCTCTCTCTCTCTCTCCCTCTCCCTCCCTCTCTCTCTCTCTCTCTCTCTTTATATACATATGGAAAGTAAATAATTTATTTGGACGGCAGAGGGCAATGTTTCTTATTTTTCTTAATCTTATAAATAAACCTTTTGTTTATTTATCTCTTTGTTGTTTGATGAAGATCCTCTTGTAGGTTCTTTAGATATAGAATTGAAAATTATCATTTAGGCAATTGAGTGAAATGCTCTGACCTGTATAGAAAGCCATAGCAAAATATCCATGACAGATGGATGACTGTCCTTTGCTAAAACATATGGAATGAGACCCATAATTTCTTTAGATGATTAGCCCCATTTTTAAAGTACTGTTGTTAAATTTTACTTGAATGTTAAAAAAAACCCAACTATCTTCCTGTAATTAAAACTATTACTCTATGTCTTGCCCTTTTAGACAATAAAGAAGAGACCTTGATTGCTTTCTCTATGACATTCTGTCAGGTACTTGATCTGCACAATATGTATACTATTAGTATTATTATATTATCTATATCTATATACATATTACATTAAAATTATTTGAGAGCCAATTTGGTGCAGTGGTTAAGGCATCAGACTAGAAACCAGGTTACTGAGTTTTACATTCACTTTAAGCACAAAGCCATGTGGGGAAATTTGAGCTAGTCAATTTTTCAGCCCTAGGATGGCAAACAACTTCTGAAAAACCTTGTCGAGAAAACTGCAGGGCCTTGTCCAAGCAATTTCTGAGAATTGGACATGATTGAATGGAAGAAGAAAAAGAATTATTTGAGGATTAGGTGAGACAATGATATAAGTACATGATGTAATTAGCATGCATCTCAGATGTAAAAATGCATACCTGAAGTCGACATTTCTGATAACTTTTCTGATAAAATTTCTAGTATATTTCAGTGATTCTGTTCTGTAATTCATGCTGACTAACCATAATTTGCTTCTAATTATATGTACATTTTCCAGTTGGTCAGTTTGCCTGACATTTGTTAACTGTTGGTTTAGCACAGTGATGGCGAATCTTCTTTTCCTCGGGTGCTGAAAGTGTGCATGCGAGCACAACACCCATAATGCAATGCCCCTCTGCAGGCTCTGCCTCTGCACATGCGCTTGCAACCCCCCCAAGTTCCCCCCGTCCACCGCACATGCGCGCCGACCTGCGTTTTGGTGCTAGCAGGCCTCCCGGAAGCCTCCCAGAACCAAAAACGAGGGGTGGGGGTAGCGCACTGCACTCCCCACCCTGTTTTTGTGCTAGCACGCCTCCCTGAAGCCTGGAACCAAAAATGGGGTGTGGGGGGCCGCTGCACCCCCCTCCCCAGACATGCGTGGGTGTCTCCTGGCAGAGACCCAAAAATCTGCTGGCCGGCAGGAGGCAAACGGACATGTGCGGTGGGGCTGACCTGGGCGTTGGCTCGCATGCCCGCAGAGATGGCTCCACATGCCACCTATGGCACACGTGCCATAGGTTCACCATCACGGGTTTAGCCTGTTGTGCAAATTTATTGCATCCGGCTTGTAAAAACACAGGCATTCATTATATGGCAATAAAGAGCAACAAACCTACCTGCTTCCTTTAATATCATCCAGATTTCTGCATAGTATGCCTACTGTTGTGCAAACTCAATCATTGTGATTGAGCCATGGTGGCACAGTGTTTAGGATGCATTATTGCAAGATGACTCTGCTCACTGCCAGGAGTTTGATCTTGCTCA